GCTCAACTTGAAAACGAGCACAGTGATCAACTGGTTCCATAATTACAGGTACAATAGTTGTCCTACAAAGGATCTCCATTGAGCATAATCCATATTCTCTAGCTGTGAAAGGCCAAGTATTTTATTTTTGTATTAATTAATGTTGGCTGTTCATACAAAGTATGTGTTAACAGTCAGCCGTTTAAGCATTGTAGTGATAGTGCTAACAATGCATTCAAGTCTCAGAATCATTCTAGGCAAATAAAAATGCTTATAGTTTGATGTCAGGAGCACTTCCCAATATGAAGTCCTGCTATCATTTCCATGCATCATAATAAGACTTAAATGTGATCTAAAAAAACCCTTGGCAATATGGTATATGTCATATTCTTTTGCATACAACATGCACCTTTTTTCTAAAGCCAGCTGCCATGCACATTTGTGAGGAACATGGTAAGAACAGTTTCTGCTGGTTACTGGACAAAAGTGAAAGTACAATCTGCAGGGACCTCATAGGGAGCAGAATAGGGCTTGGTCCCCTAGCTGATGCTACTCAGTAACTACACGGGAAGATCTTTTTTCCTTAATTCTGCCTTTCACAAACAAGGTGCATATTTTATTCTGGGGTGTGGTGTAAGTGAGGAAAATATGGTATGTAACTCCTATTATAATGAACCAGTTCCCTCTTCAGCCTTTTTGCTACCTCTATTACTGCCCTCTACAGGTAATCAGCTGTTCCATTTATCATACGTTCTACACTGGTGAAAATATATGAGGATTTTTCTTTACCTCCTGGGGTAGATATCTTTTTGAGATCAGAAGAATGTGTTCTCTCTTCGCAAAGTTCCAAATAGTTGTGGTGTGCAGCATACTGACAACCGTGAAGCCCTTGGTGGCCACAGATTTATTACACTATTATGATAAACCCTTGAGTCAGGCTGCAATGAAATGAGATTTGAGTCTCAGTTTAATTCCTTGTTCACATTTAAAAGAATCATCTCACAAGTTGAATGCATGAAATAGTTTCTGTCTACTGAAGAGGCAGTGTTTGAATGGCATGTAAAAATTAGAAGGAGTTGGATAAATGCACTCGGCTTCTGGCTACAAGAAATAGATCAGGAATCCTAGTCAGTTTAGCACACTATTTTTTCCCAAAATGGCACTGATCAATATAACACAGTTGTAAGTTTAGATGCATCAAATAGCAGTCCCAATCCCTCACTCTGCTAGCTAGGAATATCCTTGATTATCTTAGCATAGAGATTATCATCTTGGGGTAGAGACATCTTTACCCTGCCTTCTGCCTGACTTCAGACTGACATGGGTAGTGGGGCTGTGCGTAGCTTCGTTGCTGATTTGATTCGGCATAGATTTGGCCTGATTCGGCAGCTGAATCTCTGAATGTGAATCGAATCAGGAGACCCTTTAATCCCTCTGAATCAAATTGGAACCCTCCAGATCAATTTGGAGAAATTTGATGATTCGGACATAGACACAGCTTTAAATGTTTTTTCTACATACCTCAAGGTACAAGGTGACTTGTGAATGCTGAGATGGTGGGGCAGATGGCGCGTCCCCAGCACACTCAGCAGCAGAACCGGAAGTGGACCAGAGGCACTTCCAGTCCACTTTTGGGTCCGCCAGGGAATGTGCATGGGACCCACCTCCTAGCTTGGCAGCTGGCGCCTCCTGGGTCCCGGGCGGCACCTGGGACCCCCCGTGGCTAATTGCTGAGGTGCGAGGGGTGTCCCCCATACACTTGGTGGTGGACCCCCTGCACTCCTGTGGGACACTACATCCACCCCAGCATCACAGTGTTCACAAGCTGTACCTGGGACCTCGAGCTATGTAGAAAAAATATTTAAACCTATGTCCGAATCTGAAGATTCGATGCTGATTCGGAGAATCAGTGATTCGGCCAAATCGAATTGGGACAGTGATGTGAATCAACAGATCAAATCACTGTCCCTGATTCGGGCCAAATCTGAATCAGAATCAAATATGGCCCAGTTTGCACACCCCTGATGATTAGCTACTTCTTTTTGATATCTTAGCCATAGTTTATTAGGGTTTTGTTTTAAAGCAACTTGCATTTTAAAATATTTTTTCATTTCAGCCCCACTTTGTCACTAATGGGAGCATTATTGAGACAAAACAGACCCCTGGCTAATAACAGGCCTAAGGGTATACAATAGTAAATAAAGAGAAATTTAAAAATATAGCCACCAGTAAGTATTCCTATTTTAGCCCTTTCACAATGATTTCTATTTAAATTTAATCAGATTTGATTTGTGTGTGCTACAGATTCAGCATCTTAGTTAAAAGTTCCCCAAATACAGCCTTCTCTTCCAATTCTCACTTCTAGGCAATTATATGTAAGTTGGAGTAGTGCCTATGTAAATATGTTCCTTTCAGCCTGACAGCAAAATGTGCTGTTCTCACTTATACAGATGAATGAGGGTACACTGGTGACACGTGTTATCTTCCTCATTATCATGAGAACTGTTAAACATGCTGTGAGAAAGCATGACAAGTCATGATCGATCAGCACATTTAGCCACACCAAGTTACACATTCTTGCAGACGGCTGCTGCAGTTACAGACAAGGTACAAGGGAGACAATATGGTCTAGTCGTTAGAACCCAGGGATTGGAATCAGGTGACCTGATTTTGTTTCCATGTGCACCACTGGTTTGAGGTGACCTTGAACAAGTTTAGCACCTGTTTAAAGTCGATGGAAGTTTTGAGTGCTCAGCACATAAAAGTAATGAACATCAGAGGCCCAACTGAGGCTGGGGCTTTGCTGTGCTATTAATTGTAGACATACCTATTTCGAAGTGGTCCTGGCCTCAGACAACTTAGAATTGAAACAAATAGTATACACCAGTGTTTCCCAAACTTCTGATACCTGAGGCACTTTTATTTCTAGATTAAAATTGTCGGCACACTTCACTTACACACCTAAAAAGAGGACAGGGAGGGTGTATTTCTGTTCAAAACATGTGCCATATTCCATTGCCCTACCGCAGTAAATCATACCAGTGCTTAGATGTACTGTTAAAATAATAACTCCATAACTTTTCTGAATATTGAAGCACCCCCATTGATAGTCACTGAGAGATTTAAATTCAGAAGAGATATGGAGGGGGCCTTGAGGCTTTAAAAACTGAAAATCACTGATATAGTTCGTGACACTTTAAGTGTGCCAGGTACAGAACCTTACCCTGCTGTGCCCTGCTCTTTCCATTGTCTGTCGTTTGCCACACCCTGGTCTGTACCTTAGGAGGCAAGGCGAGCCCCTGCTGCTACGGCAGCACTTGCGGGGTCTTTCGCATCCACCCCCACCCTTTCTGTTGGTCCAAGGAGCATGAGAGAAGAGATGGGGGGGAAGCTGGGCTGCAAAGTGTGGCTTTGTGTGCTTGCCCACCCGTCTGCTTGCAGCAGAATGCACTGCTGGGAGGGGCTGGCACGGCCTGTA